TTTCTGGAGCAACCCTGACACTATGGAACATGGTCTCCAAGGAGATGTTAAGAGTTAAGAGTGGCAGGCTCTAAATGGAAGGACTGGGTTTGATTCCCCACTCCTCCACATGGAGCCTGCTAGGCAACTCTGGGCCAGTCACAGTTTCTCTCGGAATTCTCTCAGCCCCACCTACCTCACAAGGTGCCTGTTGTGGGGAGAGGAAGGAAATTGTAAGCCTCTTTGAGACTCCTTAAGGTAGAGAAAAGGTGGGGTATAAAAACCTACTCTTCTTTATTAAGTAGGATTTTAAAGGGTTTTTTCCCCCAAACAGTTTGATTTCGACAATATGAATATCACTTCTAAAAAGAAAAGAGTGGTGTTCTTTTACATGTATCTATGTTTTTAGACTGGCTTATGCATAGTATCGCTGCTTTTATTGTATTTTTTATATGGCTACCCCTTTAATTCTTCCGTTGTTTGTTTTCATAAGACAGGATCCTCAGAACCACGCAACGGGCTCTGAATGCTTAAAGGCCTTTGGGCTTGCAGACAGGAGCCGCCCCCACCCCGATGCTTGAAGGTTCTTTGTAATATGGCATGCGAGTGCAGTGCTTTAATCTTCAAAGAAGAAGAAGAAATAGTCCAAAATCCCACTGGGATTTGCAAAACCCTTGGGTGTGGCAAAAGCAACTCTTTGGGATTGTTTTAATTAACTGTTATCGTTTTGCGTTGTATATGGCTTTAATCAGTTCTGTAGGCTGCCTCAACCTTTGTACAAGTTGTGGAATTAACAAATTAGTATTAATGATAAAGGTGTCTGCAGGCTTCAAAAGGACAGATCCCCTTATGTTGTTTTTCTTCATGGGAGCGACATCAAAATCCAGAACAACTTGAATGCCAGGTTCCTGGGGTTTCTTTCATTTTTAAGGATGTTATGAGTATGTGGGAAGAGGTGCAGATTGGGGAGATAAAGAGAACTGGGGAAAGATCTTGAAAAAGGAGAATCAAAAGGGTTTCTGGGAAAAAATAAAGTCAAGAGGGAAGATGGACATATTCTGGGCAGCAGAGAAAACCGTGTGCAGTGGGACCTAGGTTTTTGTGTGTGTGTATATTTGGGCATCTACACACACACAAAAATTATTAAGGAAAGGATTCAAAGAATAGAAAATGAACATTGTTTTGGTCTTTCTCAGACATAAGGGACCGCCTTTCCCCACATGTTCCCCCAAGGGCACTCCGGTCGGGGAATCTAAATCTCCTGGATGTTCCAGGCCCCAGGACTACTAAACTTGCGATGACCAGGGCTAGGGCGTTTTTGGTGACGGCTCCTATCTGGTGGAATGAGCTCCCAGAGGAGATCCGGGCTCTGCGGGACCTAGTACAGTTCCGCAGGGCCTGCAAGATGGAGCTCTTCTGCCAGGCTTTTGAATAGGAGCCGCCACCATCACTGTTCCACCAATGCCCTATGATTTCCGCATATTACCATCCTGATGTGGGCATCATTGGAGGGAACGGAACGTCTTTTAGGGGACGGTAGGGCAGTGGGATATGCACTGCCGTAGTTGTCTAGCTATGTTACTGAGAACGCCATCTTGCTCTTAAAAATCTTAACATCTGGAATCGAATAGAGGAGCACCAAAATTGTTTTAGGATGTTATTTAACTGTTCGTTACTTGTCTATGTGTAATTTAACATTTTATATTGATTTATTGTTTTATCTGGCATTATGCCCTGTTAGCCACCCTGAGCCTGCGGGGAGGGCGGGATAGAAATCTAAATAATAAATAAATAAATAAATTTTTCTCACACAGGGTTGGATGAGTGAAGACAGAAAACGATGGTCCGTTCATTTTAGAAAGTTCAAAAAAAGTTTGATATATACTAGGTTAAAACATTCAAGGATTTTTTTTCTTTCCACCATTCTTTGTAAAGGAAAGAGCATCACTGTAAAGCAGGGCCCCCCAACATGGACCCCACAGATGCTTCTCCTGGTGCCCTGGTTTTTAGAAAGCAGGTGGAGCCAACTGAGGCTCTTGACCAGAAGGGCTTCTGATTGGCCTTAGGTTAAAACATTCAAGGATTTTTTTCTTTCTACCATTCTTTGAAAAGGAAAGAGCATCACTGTAAAGCAGGGGTCCCCTACAGGGAGCCCACAGACGCTTCTCCTGGTGCCCTGGTTTTTAGAAAGCAGGTGGAGCCAACTGAGGCTCTTGACCAGAAGGGCTTCTGATTGGCCAGTGGAGATCCAGATGGCTGAGGCAGATTAAAATACTGTTTCAGCAGCCGCTACCCCCACCGTGCTAATTTTATTCTCTCAACAGATGCTTCTCCTGGTGCCCTGGTTTTTAGAAAGCAGGTGGAGCCAACTGAGGCTCTTGACCAGAAGGGCTTCTGATTGGCCAGTGGAGATCCAGATGGCTGAGGCAGATTAAAATACTGTTTCAGCAGCAGCTACCCCCACAGTGCTAATTTTATTCTCTCACTCCTCCTTTCCAGTGTATCTTTTAAATTACCCCTCTTTTCACCCGTACTTGAGCTTCCCCTGTGTAGTCATGGCTGTGCCCACCACTCTGTGTCAGAATTCCACAGGAGCCTATGGGCTCACAAAGGTTGGGAACCCCTGCTCTGGAGCCAAACAACCAGCTCAGTGTCTTAGTTAAAGTGTTAGACCAGGATCTGAAAACCCCAGGGTCAAATCCCCACTTAGGCCACTCACCCTGTCTCTCTCTTTCCGCCTACTGCTCTCTCTTTCAGCCTAATCTATTTCACAGATCACGAAGCTCAAGACAATGCATCCATCTGGACTGAATCAAGACCTAGGTTTCCTGTCTCATTACCAATGCTGATTTCTCCACGCCTACTACCTCTTTCCATATCACACCTAATCCAAGCACACCTTCTATTATCATTTGCCTGCTTAATGTCATTCAGCATCTGAAATCACTCCACTTGCCAATATACAGGACAGATGGACTCACATTCTAGCTTGATCTGAAGAAGTGAGCAGTGACTCATGAAAGCCACAATTTTTGCTAGTCTTTAAAGTGCTACTGGGCTCTTAATCTTTTCTACTACTTCACAGGGTTAATGTGAGAGTAAAATGGAAAAGGGGAAACTGTTCTGTGCCACCCTGAACTCCTTGAGAAAGGATAAGATTAAAGACAGTCATAAATACATAGATAAATAAGCCAATGGTGTTCAGGCTTTCTACCCTGAGAGAACCCTGTTCACCTGTCCATCGAGGAAGCCCTGAATACCCACCAGCACCACATCGGTCTACAGAGGACTCTGGGCATATATTAGTTCTCATGGTATGGATCCGATAGTATGGCTGGAAGACGAGGGACAGAGGTACTCTGTTAAAGCCTAGGTCGGCGAGGTCAACTGACAGGTGTCCACCATGGTGAGTATTGTCTACGCAGGCTGGCAGCAGCCCTCCAGGGGATCAGACGAAGTGTCTTTCACATCACCTCCTGCTTGATCACTCTTAACTAGAGACACTGGGGACTGAACCTTCTCCATGGAAAGCACATGCTCTACCCCTGAGCCACAGCCCCTCCCCTAGGTCTCTAGATGGGAACCCTTCCGGAAACCCTTCATACACTACCTGAAATTCCACTAGGAAAGAAGGCCAATTTCACCAATTCTCCTCTCTCACCCATTCTCTTCTCTTACTTCAGGCTCACATGTTAACCCCCAAGGTATTCCTGGGCATCCACCGACCCACGGGGACACAATAGAAGGGCATAAAACGCTGCCATGCAAGGGGGCAGGGAAGTTGCTGCTTATGCTGCACAGTTCTCCTAGTCTTGCATAGGATCCAAGCATAGGCCTACCTGAAAGCCACACCCCCTAACCAAAGTGGCCTTCCATACATGTTCAACAGCACTCTTCTTACACTTCACACAGGACTAGTGTTTCATGGTTTTTTTAAACTTAGCATTAAAAACAGGTTCTGGAGCTCAAATTAAGCCCTGGTTGCATAGGGGGATAACAAAATAAGAATTACAGAATTTTAGTTCAGGGTCCCCAACCTGGTGCTCACGGGCACCAGGATGCCTGCAGACATCTGTTCTGGTGCCCGCCAAGTGTTTTTAGGAAATGGGCGGGGCCAGGTGGGGCTGTTGCCCATTAAGGCTTCTGATTGGCCACTGGAGATTTGATTGGTTGTGCGGATATTCTCAAAACGTTGCTTTGGCAAGGGCTGCCAGCACAGCACTAGGATCTTCACTGTGTGACTGAAGGTAAGTTAGGACAACCTTTCGTGGCTGGCTCCACCTCCCGCAGCAGCCATGTTCTGGTTGCCATTTTGCGGCTGCGCCCACCACACTGTGCCCGCACCATTCCAAAAGTGCCCCCGCAGGCTCGAAAAAGTTGGGGACCCCTGCTTTAGTCACTGTACAAAAACAAATTATAAACACAAACAAGGTCGAGGATCATGCACTTAAAACACTCACATTTGGGGAGGGAATGAAAGGAGAGGCAAGACTTCATGGAATATATATTGGGGGCGGGGAGATTATCATGCAGGATGCATAGACCCCCTCTTGAACAAAAACCTGGCTTTCAAAGGAAGTTGGGTGAAGCCTTGCAGGTGGGGAGAGGGAGAGGAGAAGGCTGGCCAACAGCAGGCACCAGCCAGGCTGAGGTGGGAAGGTCCAGCCTTGCATGCAATGGTGAAGAGAGGGTGGTGGCAGAAGCCCCTCTCCGGCTGGTCTCAGGTAGCTCCTCCACAGCCTTCCGCAGCCCCAGCGCCCATCCATGCAAATGCCACTCTGCCGAGCAGCCCTGTGCGGTTTATTTTGCAAAAGCAATCTCTGCTGGCCGCTTCCTCCTCCCTCTTTCCCCCCCAGTCTCTCAAGCTGATTGATGCCTTCGCCCTTGCCAGCCAGCGACTCTTCCGTTCTCGTCCCCCTCAGGTAAGGAGGAGAAATGGAGGTAGGTGCAGGAGGAAGGTGGGGCGCCCGCCAGAGCAGGGGGGCGCCCCTGGCTTTGCAAAAGGAAAAGGCAGCCCTTACCTTCCACAGCCATTCTCTCAGAGCTCGCTTAGTGCATGCATAATTCGCCAGCCAAGAGGTGCTTCTCCTCCTCCTCCTCCTCCTCCCTTCCCAACCCCTCCTCCTCCCCCCCTTCCTTCTCTCTCTCTCTCTTTCTCTTTTCCACCGTTTTCTCTTTCGCTCATCTGCAGCCAAGACGATCAACCTGCAGTAAGAAAGGGGGGGGGGTAGCCCGTCCCCCTCAGCAGGCTGGGAAATGTAGTTTTTTTTTGGGGGGGTTACTTTCGTCAGGCTAAGCCGCAGTGCCCAAACTGTTTTGTCCCTCGGGCAACTTCCTTCTATGCACACACCCAGTACTCTCAATGGAAGAAATAGTAACCACCCCGGGGGTGAAGGAGCGAGTCGCTCACTACTGTCTTGCCTATGCCATTTAGGGCGGCCTGCGAGGAAACGAACACTACAAATCCCCAAATGCAACGCGGTGAGATTGAGTGGCGACCTAGTGTAGGGCTATTTGATTGAGGACTTCCTTGTGGAACTGAAGGAGGAGGCAGGTAGAGGCTAAGGTGCTTGAAAGGGGGGGGCGGGGCGCAGTGCACCTATTGTTGCCTCACAGAAGTTTTTTTGGGGGGGGATCTCACTCGGCTAAAGGAACCCCTTATCTTTCCAGGTGTATTCTCTGCAGCTGCTAATTTGTTGCAAAATGGTTGCAATACATCAGAGTTTTAGCAGATAGAATGGAGGGAAATAATGCAATCTGTGTAAAGGTTCCCCTTTGCCCCTTCAGGCATCTGTCAACTAGTCAGCTATGTGTGTTTGGATTAGAATAGGGTTATCATATTTTGAACAGCAGAAAAGAGGACGTGTTGCCAGACTGAAGAAGATTGTGTACACACAAAAACTTCCACCCAGAATTAAACTTTGTTGGTCTTAACGGCGCCACTGGACTCAGACTTTGTTCTGTTGCTTCAGACCAACACAACTGCCCACCTGAGCTCACCTGGCACATAGCATGAAATTGTCAAAGGCAATGAGGACACGTCTGAAACAGCCATTTTTCTACTAGCTGTCTGTCTGTCTGTCTATCTATCATCTATCTGTTTTATTAGATTTATACTGCGAACCAGAAGGGTACAAAATTTATTAGGGTGTACACATATTAAAATATATAAGGGTTAAAAAAAAAATTTTCACGTATCAGACTAATAAAAGCATATCCTGAACAGAATCCTTAGCTTGATGGAGTGACACACATTCAGACTTATGAAATCTCATTTACCAGAATAATTGGAATGGATATGGCTATACCTGTGGCCCATCATTGGGGTGCTGCCCCCCAATGCCCCACTGTAACTGCAGGCCTGATCTGAGTACTAACCAAGGCCGACCCTGCTTAGCCTCAAGGTCTGATGAGATCAGGCTAGCACTTTTTCCAGGGGCTCGCAGAATCCGTCCCTTTGGCCCAATTTGCTTGAAACTTGGAGGTCCTTTGGAGGACAGGCAGCACTCACTCTGCTACAATTTTAGTATCATTTGGTTGAGAAACAGCCATTCCAGCCTTGCTGAGGACTCCCCCCATTAATGAAAGTGCAATTATTTATTTATTTATTTATTTATTTTGGGATTTATATCCCGCCCTACCCGAGCGGCCCAGGGCGGCAAACAAGCGGCAAGCCGAAAAACAAAACATAAAATACATTAAAAATTCAATAAATACAGCTAAAAAGGTGCTTTACAATTCATAATAAGATTCAGTTTCAGAGTTCATTTTAAAGTTCCAGATGGCCGGTATCCCTCACTGGTGGCCAATGGACTAGGCGCAGGAGTGCTAGGATGATGTTCCTCTTCTGGGCACCATTTTACCCCCATCCAGGCCAGGTAGATGGTCGGTCAGTCACGGTGGTGGTATAGTGGCCGCGGCGGCGGCTCCTACTCAAAAGCCTGGCGGAAGAGCTCCGTCTTGCAGGCCCTGCGGAACTGCACTAAGTCCCGCAGGGCCCTGATCTCATAGGGGAGCTCATTCTACCAGGTGGGGGCCAGGCCCAAAAAGGTCCAGGCCAATTGGACGTCCCTGGGGCCGGAGACCACTAAAAGATGTTGGTTTGTGGACCTCAGTGCCCTCCAGGGCTCATAAATCATCCAAAACAGCATAATTCTTCACCTTTCGTAAGCTTACTTCTCTTTAACATTTTTCAGTATTTAAAGCTCAGTCACCTTTGGAGGCCCTGCTTCAATCCCCCCCCCCACATCTGAGATGAGATGGTTGGCAACCTGAGAAAGGGCCTTCTTCATTGTGGCACCAAGACTTTGGACTCCCCTCCCCCAAGGGAGACTCTGTTTCTCTCTATTGGTGTAGTGGTTAAGTGCGCAGACTCTTATCTGGGAGAACCAAGTTTGATTCCCCACTCCTCCACTTGCACCTGGCCGGCCCTACCTCACAGGGTGTCTGTTGTGGGGAGAAGGAAAAGGAGATTATAAACCACTCTGAGACTCCGAGTGAAGGGTGGGGTATAAATCCAATCTCTTCTTCAGATGAAGACTTTTGTGTTTCATCTTGCGCACCCCTATAACAGTTACTGGCCATCCTTCTAGTGCTGTTTACATGTTTTCAATTTAATTATTCCATAATTTTATTGTATTTTTAATTGCTCCAATGTTTTAATGGTTTTTTTTAATGTTTGCCTCATTGTGGACCCTGATTGGATGGAAAGGCATAATCTCCTGTATCTTAACATTCCTGTAACTTGTCTCTTAGTCTTGGTTTTCCTCTCCTCACAGAAACATCTGCACTGATATTTTCCTTGCATGGAACCTCCCTGGGAAGCCATGCAGGTGGTACCCAAGCAGAAATACCTCTCCTTGTTCCCCCAGCATTAGGCTTGTTCTTAATGCTGTGCTCATTTGCAAACAGTCAAAGGTACATGGGAAGGCCAGGACGAAGGCTGTTTGCTCAGAGCAACTGTGTGGAAGGTGACAGGCCAGCAATTTCTTTTTTTTTTTAACTTGCATGCTGTGCTTGGGGGATGCAAGCATGAACTCGCAAACAGCACTCTTCGAAAGGAGGAAATAATGCATAATGCAGCTGCTCAGTCGAGTGTATTGTACAAGGTAATTCATCTAAATCTCAGAAAAGCAACTGTCGTGTAAGACAGGAAACAAAGATGTGGAGCAAAACCAACAGAAATCGTAAATAATTTCATACCCCCCAGAATATTAGGTTTGGAATAAACGTCAGCAAGTTACACAGTCCATATCAGCACCCCAAGAACAATTATTTCTTTCTTTTCATTTTGATTCTTTCATTTTGGCAGGTCTCACACAACAAAGCAGAGAAAGAAGAGCTGCAATAGCTGAATCAACAGGAGACTTGGGGGAGAAGGCAAAGGGACGAGCCTTCAGCCAGTTGCTCCCCATTTCCAGTTTGGTGTAGTGGTTAAGAGCAGCAGACTCTAATCTGGAGGACCGGGTTTGATTCCCCACTCCTCCACAAGAAGCCAGTTGGGTGACCTTGGGTCAGTCACAGTTCTCTCAGAGCTCTCTCAGCCCCACCTAATTCACAAGGTGCCTGTTGTGGGGAGAGGGAGGGAAGGTGATTGTAAGCCGCTCCTTCGGGTAGTGAAGGACATCCAAGTTCATGTTGACAGCCATCAATGGATTGAAAAAGTTGATCATATGCTATTAGCTTTAGAAGACCGTCTTGGTCTGAATATGGCAGGCAAACAGGAGGGAAGTGAGGCGTTCTGGAAGTTCTGTGACGCTTCCGGACTGCTATACTGGTAAGTTTCATGAGCGGAACTCCAGAGATGTAATTTGACCAATTGCATCAGGACTTACAGCACTTAGACGGAAGTTTAGTTCTCCCTCGTTTCATTTTTCTGATTAAAAATGCCCTCTGGTTGCTCTGTGACCCAGTAGGGAAGAAAGTCTGGTACTCACATGGTACCTCCCATCCTTCCCTCCTCCACCAATCTATACCATCTGTGGCTTTTTCTTAGGGCCAAACGACAAGTCTAGGGTTCCCATCATGGAATTCCACCATCATATGTAGTCCAGCTCCAAGTAATCAGGGAAGCATCTGGCATTCCGGCGGAGATACAGGAGCCAAAGGCGAACACAGACCAGAGAGTTCTGATGTCTCTGGTTCAATCCATGAATATATTTAGGCTTCTCTCGGGTTCCTCATCTGTGCTTTGAATCCTGAGATGGACAAGCCTGTGATTACTCGGGGCCTTGGGGAATATTAGCTAGGGGCAAGGAATGGATCCATCGTGAGCATTACAGCAGGCCCCCAGATGGACTTTTGAGACCTGCTGACATTAACATTTCTCTAAGTGTTGCGTCAGCCTTTCAGTGCAGTTTGCAAAGGGGGCATTTGCCCTTTAGCAGGACATGCTGTGTATGTCCCTTCCTCTGTTTTGTGCTGCTCAGTTTTTGCTGGGTTTTTTTTTAAGCTGCGGATACAAAGATTGTACTATTTTGGAACAAGTCGAAGAACACACAGTGCCATTTCTTGTTTTAAGCCATTTCCCCAGCTCTCAAAGCAGCCTTTAAAAAAAAACAACCCAAAAACTAGAATTATTTGCAAAGAGGCCTGTTTGCCGTTTTTTTAATTCTTATGGAAATTACGGGACTTATTTTAGCTTCGAGGTTTGCAGGATGGATACAAAGAGCCTATTTTTGTTAGAAGTTCTTTTGAGATTTTAATGTCTTCCATTTCTCTTTACCTCCAGGAATTTATTTTTTAAAAATTAAGTTCTTCCCTGTTGCTCTATCAAGTGATCTTAAAAGCCCTTATATGGATGTTTACTTATTGTATGGATTGTTGAAGTTAGCTCTGTATGATTATGACTGATGTTTTCACATTCTCCAATAATGCACTTTTTGCACAGTTTAGCTGCCTGCTTTTACATCTTGGTGGTCTAGAATTAAACTTCCCACAGCAGCCTGGACTCTGCCAGCTTGTTTGCTTGTAGTACACAAGCAAATCTTTCATTTCAGCATTATACAATACCAGCACCAGAAAGTCAAACTATAAAAGGCTAGTTCCAAGTTGAACATTGCCAGCTATCCCTAGTAGAGACC